GGCCTTGTTTTTGCTTCTTGGTGGGAACAATTTTTCAGGAAAATGCAGCCTCGTGGGGACCGGATGCTCCTTGTGGGGACTAAAGCCTGCTCTCCACGACTTCGGAGGCTAAGTGTGTGTGTGTGTGTGTGTGTGTGTGTACTGACAAGGCTGTGGTCGACTCTGAAGAAAGCCATCTGACAGGGTTTGTTCAGCAGGTTGGCAAAAGCTATGAAGGCGTCGGCCGTGTCCAGGTTCAGGATGAGCACGGCAGCGATGAAGGACATGCCCTGCACCTGAACACAAACAAGCAGGTGCTGCTGTGAGAGGGGCTGAATGATGAAGAGGATGGTGACCTGTGGCTCCGACACCAGCAGTAACACAACAAACAGTTTGATTTAAAGAGGAGAGAAGCTGACAGAGACTGATGCAAACACCCTGCGTAAAGAGGGGAATGCACAGCTCTGTGTGTGTGTGTGTGTGTGTGTGTGTGTGTGTGTGTGTGTGTGTGTACATGGTTGGACTCAGTACAGGAAGTCAGCAGCACGATGCTACGGTAAGAAGCACAAAGGTAACCAGCTCATTGGAACAAACATTAAATTTTGTCTCAATGTTTAAACTGTTTTAACTTCAAAAGACGTTTAAACTTATTTAAAAAGTTGTTTCTAACTTTAACCATTAGCTTTATAATAATAATAATAACAACAACAACAACAACTCAGGCCAATAATTTAGTTCCTTGTATTGAGTACCTATTATCAATTAAACTGAAATAACATCTAGTTTTAGCCAACATCAACATGTGAAAATATCAATTCTAGTTTTGTGTTGAATATTAAAAGCATCTGTTATCATTAAGTAAAGAAAGTTTTCTACATTTACACAGCTAGACTTCACATGTATTGCTGACAAAGCTGTGACTCAGCAAAACCTTCATAGGAGCATCAGTGTGTGATGTGGCTGCTCTTCATAAACACAGATTACAGATTAGTTCAATCCTGGATCAAAACCCATCGTTTTACTCTGGTTTTTGATTGAAACAGAACATAAGTATCTATTGTCGCTCATCTTTTACTGAATTTGTTGTATAGTTTGGTTAAAGCTTTGATCAGTTGAAGSTGTAGAAATCAACCTGACACTGAAGCAGTAAAATGACTCATGTAACCCTGTACACTTCAAGTATTTGTGATCGTAGGTTTTAGCCTTTGTGTTCGTTTAGCCTGAAACTCTCCCAGTTATTGTGAAGCACTTTGTGATTTCATTCTCTGAAAGGTGATTTATAAATAAACTGAATCTTACAGTCATAGAAAATATTGGCCTTTCAGGAAACAGCCCACTCAGTTTTTCTCATCGCGTAAAAACTCCCACTCAGGTCCAGTCAGACGCAGCAGACTGAGTCACTCCAGCTACAACCATGCAGGTGGAGTGGGTGTAGTGTGGGACAGGAACGGCTCAGCTGCTACTTTTACACACATACTGTATTTACTACGCAAAACGCCACAAGATTTACTTCATTATTCCTAAAAATTATTTTACAGACACTTTACATTAAAGTTTTATACTCTGATGTTTACTAAACAKTGAGTTTTACCATGTAAGCAAAAAACAAAAACAATCTTAGTCACATACTGAGTGATTTAGAGACGAGCTGAAGGTTTCTAAATTTTTATTTTGAAATTTTAGATTTTTTTACAACCAAATCTTATGTTTTTTTTATTTTACATCAAAATATCTGCCAACTTATTATAATTTACTTAATTTTCTTACACTGATATTTGTTCTAATATTATTGGATGTAGGAAAAGTTTTACTTTATCTCATCAATCCTGTTTCTTCTTCTTTGTCTTCATAAAGCCTTTTGTAAGGATACACAACCAAAACCTGCAGCTGCAGAAAATTCAGAGGATTTATTTTTTTCTACTCTGCCTTGTTTTATTTTTTGTAAAATAAATAAATGAATAAATTGTGCCGAGTTAAAATCATGTTTAATCTAAGTCCTAATGTATCTATCCTCCTGTCTAAAAGGTTGTATTTTTCTTGATGAGCTCAGATATGATGATGATGCAACAATGTTCTATATTCCTGTTTTTTATTTCCAAACTATAGAAATCCTGTGTTTATATTTTATAATGCAAATTCAGATTTTACTTGAAGCAAATATTCTATATTTTAAGACTGTGTAGAAACCAGAGATTGTATTTAAAGATGAACCACTTCGTTTGCTTTACAAAAGTGAAGCCAAATGATTGTTTTTTGTTAATGACTTCATATATTAAAGAAATAAATTTTTGAATGTACAGCAGCAAGGTAAGTATGGAAG